ATGTCCAGCTGAATGGCCTGTTATTTTCTCCCTTCTTTGCTCTCCCTCTTCTTGTCCCAGTGATTGGGCACATTAATGATACCTGAGAAGTCCAAGCCAAAGAGAGTATCGAGGAATGGCCCTGCATCACAGTAAATGAGAAATGCCTGGAAATGCTGCCACACTCATCGTACATATTCCTTCTAATCTCTAGAATAGAGATATTAGACAAGAATAGATATTAGACAAGCTCTATCTCTACCTTAGTTGGTGGCTGTTCCACTTTGAGATCTGGAGGGTTGGCCAGTAGGTCCCTGGCCAGCTCTACAGTTAAGCGACACGCTTCGCTACTGTAACCATGTGCATATAGAGCCTCTGCACAGGCAAACAGGATCTGCAAGAAAGAACAGATGGTCAAATCTGAACCACCCTCCTCAGGCTGGAGGCAACATCCTCAAAGTACTTGCGCCCAAGCTCCTGCAAACACAATTCACGATTAACCTTAGCAGCAGGCCCTCTCTCTCACAGAGTCCTCCTTCCTCGCACCTTCACCACAATCCCTTCAAGTACTCCTCTAAAACCCCTCTTCTTCTATGATAAAGTCCCCACCTCTTCCTCTAATTGCTATGATCAGGAAATTACTCGAAGATAAACTAAAACTGAAGTTCAGTTACCGTAACTGTTTCCATGCATACCCTTTTCAGCTTCCCACTTATATAGATGCAAGCCCTAAACATATTTTGAGATTATTACAGTAACTTGTCACAGGCTGTCTCTTGCTTTCCAGAGAATTTTTGTTTACGAGGTTGGATTTAAATTTTTCCTGCTGGGCATGTCTCGGTCTTTTTTCTTTTTTTCTTTTTTTTTTTCCCCTCTTCATTTGAACTCAGTCAGTTTTGCCATTTCCAAGAGACAGGCTGAGAAAAAGCAGACACGGTTTTGCCTACATTCATAAAACTTGGAATCTGAGATGCTATTATTCAAAACTGGGAAGCGAACAGAGCAAGGGGGAAGCAGAAGTGTGATACCACTACATTAAGATTGTAAATATGTTATGATACAATGGGTTATGATTACATTATAACCCATTGACTTAAAAATACATGAGGTTAAGTATGCCAGCTGAGAGGGTAGGGAGACAGTAATGCATACAAGACAAAGAAAAGTGCAAGACAGAGATCTGAACTAGATCCAGCCCACCTCCATCCGATTCTCCTGCTCCAGAGGCTTTATACCAGCAAATATATCTTGTTCCTCATCATTTCCTCCTTCAGCTTTGTCATCATCTTCCTTGGCTACTTCCTGTGGATTCAGATAGTATACCTGGTAATCGTCTTCCTCTTCTCCCTCGTCCCCTCCCCCTGCTGCACCATTCTCCTCCAATTCTTCTGGCTTCAGGCTCACACCACCGCTGGTCTCATCTGCAGAAGGTGGGTCATCATCGCCACTACCCGTTTCTCCCACAGGATCCTTGGGTGATTTCTTGGATGCAGAACTGCTCCTGACACTGGGCTCAGGTCCCTCGGAGAAATACACCCCACCATCCTCCTCAAAGGTGTCCCTGTAGCTCCTGCTCAGAGGGCTTTCTGTAAAACTAAACGTGTTGCTGGCTTCTGCCCCCAGAGCCAAGCTGCTGTCGTCCAGGCTCATCTCTGCCAGGTCCGGCTCCAAGGAGCTGTCTTCACTGCTCATGCGGCGTTTCCCGCTGTGCTTGCTGGTCAAGCCTTTGCTCACTGGCAACTTGGTTTTGCCCACTCCAGTTTTATACACAGTTTTATCACCTTCCGCTGAAAGCCGCCTCAGGACCCTCTGCGGTGCTTCAGAGACAACTTTCCGCTTCCCAGTGAGCTCCTTTGGCCGAACCGCCGGCTCCTGCGGAGAGGGCCGTGGCCTGTCCCCTGGCTGCGGGCACGGCCCCCCGGGCTCCTGGCCGTGGGCTCTGCCAGTCTCACAGGCAGCTTCTGCGCACTGCAACCGGCAGCTCCGCTGCTGGATGGCCTTTACCCAACAGAATGAGTTCTTCTTGTCAGTGCTGCTATACGTGATCCCAGGAATGGGATAAGCCTCTTCCCAGTTGAAGTAACAGGCTTCCACAGCTGGCTTGAAACCCTGGAAGAGCTTCTCCAGGGATTTCTTGTGCTGACCCCTCTTGACATTATCTATGACTTTCAGCTGCCACTGTCTGAGCTGTGAGCAAAGGTCCCTGCGCCTATGGGAAGAAGTGAGAGGACAGGTTAGAGAGCAGACAAAATACACAGGCAACAAACTACCGCCCAACCCAGAGAACACCTTGGGGATCTGATTTACGCTGTAGCAGGCTGTCCTCAGGAGACTAAATTACTGCAACCCACAGGCACAGAACAAGCAAGACAAAAATACAACTGATGTTCACGGAAATCTGAGGAGCTGATAGGATTATATATAATTATTACAGCAATGACTCCCATGCTCTGTATTACCCAACTCCAAACCTCACTTAGAGCCTAGGCATATGAGTGAGATAGTTTGCGTGGACTACACATTCAGCTGATCAAATTCAAGACATGTCTAGATGCCACACCAAGTGTCTCAGCCAACAGTCATCTTATTCCTGCCACAGATTTTAGGAATCTGGGATACAAGCCCAAAACTTCAATCCTCAGATTTCCTACCACAAGAACACAAAAGTATATCAAAATAGGGTAGTCCAATTTAGGTGCAAAGGAAAAAACAACCTCAAAAGAATGGACTGTTCCTATCTGACCACTAAAGAAACCAATTAACAAGGGAGCAGATTGGCAGGGTTTGGTCAAAGAGAGGATTTTCAGAAGGAAAAAGGAGAAGAGGGAACTACAGAGAAAAGGTAACATGAGGGTGACAGTCTGCAATGAATTACAAATGAGGTAGCAAGTTTCCTTATGGTTCACTGTGAACAGTAGTGAGAATGGACAGAAGAGGTTTCTTCCTGATGACTATTCAAACTCTAAGGGAATAGGAAATCAAGCAGGAGCATTTGAAATATGCATGAGTTTAACTAGGAGCTTTGAGCAAGTTTGAAGTTCATCAGACAACCGGAATGTGAATACACATAGCACAACTTCATGCTTTATTAAAAGTCAAAGAGCTTTTATGTTTTTTACTATGTGATGTGATTGATGTTTGGGTTTATTTTAAGCCCCGCTTCCAGCTTCCTACCATCCTCAGTGTGTTTTCATCACCTATGTTTAGCTGCTTCATACTCTAAACTGTACAAGACAGAAATTGCATTCATTTTAGTGTCCTGGATGTACCTTACAAAGATACAGCATTATATTAGTGCTATGCAGCAATTTACAGAAAGCACATACTATTAACTTGCAATTGCAGTAGAAAATTGTGTAGAAAATCACATCCATTCTTTGTTCTGAAAAAAATCTGACCATTTATAGCACATTAAATTAATACAGTGCAATTTGCACATTACACTTTTTAGACTAGACAGCAAAAGATAAGTTATTAGATGTCAAGCACACTGTTTAATGACAGCCCTCAGTACCTAAAATGGTATTCAGATCATGCTAAATAAAGATTTACCAATGCATGATATGGTTTAGAAACCTACAGAAACCTCACAATTTTCCTCAGGCAAATGAAAAATACATACCTGTGATACTACTTGCCAATACTTTGCAGAGAACAAGCTCCCTAAGAGCACAGAAAATAAGAAATGGTTCATCTTGAAATGGGAACAGTGAATAAATGGGCTAAATAAAAATCAACTGTCAAACTTTTAAAAAGCTTTAAAAAGCTAAAGTTAAAATGTATTGGAAGCCTGTATTACCAACCATAGAAAATGTTCTCCACTGGGATGCTGAAAGGCAGAATTATGCTTGTATGTTAAAGGGTGAAAAATTAGTTGTTTTCTGAGAGAGACATGATATGATGTTGCTAAAAGTAAGAAAAGATACCAGTTAAAGTTGAAAGCCATTAGAGTTCTCTTGAATCCTATATAGCGCATAGGCCAGAAGGACTAACAGTTGAACAGTTTGCTTAATGAGGTAGTGACACAACCACAGGACAGCTACAGGAAGAGACTCGGAGGGTGCTTGCCTACCACGGCATAACCGAGAGCCCGGAGCCCGCTGCTGAAGGAGTCTCCACATTCCGCACCCGTTACCGATTACCCGGTTCTGGCGCTCACCTCTGCGGACTGATAGTTGGGTCGAGGACAGCCAGCCTCCAGAGCACCACCATCTCGTCACACATGCTGGCACAGGCGTGAGCAGCCACTTCCGACTGGCCGTTGCTGCGGCCCGTGTGCCCGCTGGCGCTGCTGTGCGACGCGGACGTGCGCACGCTGTACCACCAGCCCGTGATCTGCAGGAGAGAGGGCCTTCAGGAGAGCTCTGCTCTGGCTCGCACGCCACCCCGTGCTCTCACCTAGCTTCCTAACCACAAGGCTGCTGAATCTGTGCACCACGCTGTGCCAGTGATTAACAGGTTGGCAGCACCCGCTTCGTGTGTCGTACCAGAACAACTGAGCAATAAAGCAGTAGCACTTGGTGAGAACCGAGGGTCTCAAAATTTGTTTCATTCGCAGAAGGCACATGTTCCAGGAGTAAAATAAAATAAAACAAAATAAAATAAAATATCATAAAATTTATCCCACGTATTATGACTCAAACTTACCAAAAGATACTTCCTATAAAAATAATCAGAGCCTGAGATTCCACCACGCAACACACGTCAAAATGACAGCTCATAGCTAGTGTACTTTGTTTTGGAAAAATTATTGTAATAAACCACCCCGACTGGATAGAAATCAAATCATATTTGCTTAAAAAAGAATTCAGACTCATACACTGATATTAAAATGGGCAGGTATTTTGAGGGTGTAGCATTGCTGGGCATCACTGAATCAGCACAAAAGCAAGCTATAAGCTATTTGTGGTGTGGGAAAGCATATGCCTGTAATGCATTTAGATTGCTAAAATTAAAAAATAAAAATTTTAGCCACGAATTTAAAGGTGCATAGGATTCTGATTTGCAGAAGTTGTTCTTTTTTTCTGTAGAGCAAGTAGGCTCAGTTACCTGCTCGTAGTTGAGACACTGGTCAGTCAAAATCTCCAGCAAAGGAGCTGCGTTGCTATCCCGTCTCTTAAACATCTCCCGCACGATGGAGAGCAGGTTCCAGATTCCCTCGGGCTCCCTTCCTCGCAGAGGGCGCAGGAGACAGGCCCACTCAGCAGCAGCTGGTGGCTCCGTGGAAGAGAGATACATTGAATTCACATCACTGCATATAGAAGAGAGGTGCAGTGATGAGGAATAATGAACTCAAGCACAGACTCATAAAATCCCACGGGTATATGCTACATCCAGAAATAAATGTGTATGCTGTGTGGGACAAGCATGCATAACAGAAGACAGGATGCATAGCTGAAGTCTGAGAATACCAAGCAAGGAAAGTATTGTACAAAACCACAGCATGCTCCACCAAAGCAGCATTGGACACAGTATGCCAAACTACAGTCTGGAGAGGCAACATCAAAATTAAGCATCCTCCATTCCATGGCATCACAGAAGGGTACATATTTTCAGATTGTGTGAATATTACACTTTTCCTTGAACGCGGAACACTTTACCTGAAAACAACAGGAGAGGGTCCACAGAACTTATGAAGAGTTTTCTTTATGTTGTCGCTCAGAGTAGACTCATCTAAGTACCAGGTGCTTTGATCTGATGCAGAGGGTCCGGCAGTGGGATCTTAACAAAAGAGCACGTACAGAGTGAGGAGGTTTTGAAGAGCTGTCCTCCGTGTGCCCAAGCACAGAAATTACAGGGAGCACATAAACAATGTTACTCAGTTTACTTCACCAGGTGCAGAACCACTCACTATTTCAAAATGCTATCCCAGCACTGACAACACTAAACAAGGTGATGCTGGCATACTGAATGGCAGAGCTACAACCAAGGACCAGGAGAAATTCAAGGATTGTGTCAACAGAAACCTCATGAAATTCAGCGACGAAAAACGCAAACTTTTGTACCTGGGGCAGAAAATCCTATCCATCAGTACAGGTTGAAAAGCAAATGGCTGTGTAGCTGAAAGGGCTTGAAAATTATGGTGAATGTCAAGTGGAATTCACAAATAAATCAAGATGCACACAGGAATAGACTGGCGAAAGCATGGCAATCAGATGTGAGGATGTTATTTTACCCCCCTCTACGTGATAGTAGTAAGGTTGCATCTGGAATATTCTATCCAATTTCAGGTCCTCTCATTTGGCCTCAAAAATGATAATGAGAAACAAGAGAGGATTAAGCAGAGAGCTACCAAGAGAGCTGGCACAGAGCACATGACCTGCGAAGAAAAGTTTTGTCGAACAAAAAGAGGATGAGTGGTGATTGAACAACAGCCTTCAACTGGCACAAACACAACACAGCCAAACCCTTTGGTAGGGGAAATGACAAAATAAAGGGCAGCATCCACAGTGGAAGGTTCGTACTGGTCATTAGGGAAAAATACTTTATCAAGAGGGCAATGCAGCACCACAATAGCTTACCACAAAGATAAGCAGAAAAAAAATCCATTCAAAACAGTGCGGTGCTCAAAGCTCCCTTCCTCCCTGCACACCCTGAGGACTCCACCACACTAGCAATTTCCTGTAGCTGCTCCGTATATAAACATAAATATTGGTACTTTTCCCCTTCCTTTGACCTCCACCTGCAATCCTAGATATATGGTGACCCACCAATTCAGGAACTCAAAGCAACAGAAAAATACTTGCTTCCTATCTTTGACACAGATTACTGAAAGAGGATTCAACAGTTACCTGGGGCTCCACACACTGTGTTGATGGCAGTGGACTGAGACGATAACAACTCATCCAGCAAGCGCTGAGCAGTTGGAAGAATCTGCAAACATGAAGGAAACATTCAATACACACTGTATTTCTTGTCCTGCTATCTCCAGCCAAAGACCCACCTCGACTTTCATAACTGAAGGACTCATAATATCACAAGTATTAAATATCACATATGCATTTGTGTGTATGTACGCGTATGTATGCATGTTTATATGATGGGCATATATTTACCTATATGCCTATGGGCATATATTTTACCTATTGTGTGTGCATGTGTGTATGTATGTGCATAAACATGTGTATATGTAAATATATATATATATATATGTACACTGCGCAATCTGTTACTTTTCACAATTTCTTTTCCTAGCTCTTTACCTTTCTGTTTAATAGCCATGTTTCCAGAAAGAACAGTAGAGGGTGCTAAAGATAATACAATAGCAGAAATAGCTGCTCCACTTTCTCCTCTCCTGTCTCAAAGTAAACCTTTATGCAAAGCTTGTTCCCTACATTCACGCCCTAAGAAGTAAACAAAATCATCACAGGTTGTAGCTTTCTCCTTTCTCGAGGAGGAGGAGGAGCTGCCAGCAGAGTGTGATACTGCAGCTGGTTTTCAGAGATACGAAGTGACTGTAGCCAAGATCACCATTTTCCTGCACTTATTCTGAATGCTTCTTGTTTCATGCTCCTAAATCATTTCTCTAAAAAACAACTTAATGGGAATGGAGGCGAAAACTATAAATTGCATCTATCCATAATTCTGCAGGCAGGCTTCAGCTCGTTTGCCATGCTTGTAGCAGAGGGACAACACACAGGCTCAACACTGAGCTCATGCAGCCAGAGCTCCTGGCCGTTCAGAGCACAGGCAAAGGCAGCTCACATTGGACTGCAAAGCCCTGAGGACTTTTTGGTCCTTCTGGTCTTTTTGAAAGCAAAATGGATAGGAAAAAGCTCTTTTTCCCTCACTCTCAAACTAAGTCTGGGCTACAACTGTAGACCTATTTAGTCTTTAACATTCACTTTCACAATAGGCTAGGGAAATAGGCTTTAAATTACTAGCAACATCTGATATCCCCCCCACCTCTCTGTACAGCAGCTGCAGTGGGAGATCGTCCTGGAAGGCAAGAAATATTCAATAGCCTTGAGACAAACATTTGCAAATAATATGCACCCACCTCATAAACAGATGCAGAAAAACAACACTTCAGAAGGACATCCTGCATTTGAGCCACCTGATGATATGGGCTCAGCACTAAGCTATTCTTGCACCTTTTCCACTACCACGTATTTTAAGATACCAAGAAGCAGAAAAGTCACAGGATGATACAATGTCACACCTTAAGCTGAAATACCAGGGAGCTCCAGAAACTTTCCCTTGGAGACCTTCCCTTGGACACTTTTGCCTAGACACATATGCCTAACTGGAACTAGAAAACTGGGTTACTGAAAGGAGATTAATCCTGGGAGAAGAACTGTGTAAGAACTTCCGGCTGCTCAACATCACTGACATTTTCATAGAGATGCAAAAGATCCTTTCCACCAAGATTTTGAAAAACACCTCCTATCTTGCTGCATTCCTCTGGACCCCGGTCCCTCACACTTGAAAGTAATTTGGCATTATTACTGGACTATAATAATGTAACTCACAGCTGGAAATATGGATAAAGTACAACCACGTGAGCAACCTACTCTGTTTCTACACCATGTGGTCAAAATACAGGGACCAAAGATATCAAAATATCTCCACTCAAAAATATCAGAGACTGTTGGAAAAATTTGTGGCACATCCCTTTTTTTAAGGGGATTACAGGTTGAGGAGCACCTGACAATAAAATCCAAACTTTTTTGTTAGGCAGAATCCCATCAGATTATCTGGCAAGAAGTAATATATTTGTCCAGATGTTACTGGGTGCACAGGCTGGTACAAATAACGGAAGGAGAAACAAACTTTGCAGAAAGGGACAGACACTGAATATATAGAGCATCATATCAAGCAAACAACTCGCATGCTGTTCAGGGAACAACGACCACCTCTGCTAGCCTTTCAAAACTCTCCTTCACAAAGTACCAAACTATGTGGCATAAAGTTCAGAGGCCTTAAGTCAGAAAGAAAAGGGTTTCCCCTTTTTACATCGTGCAGAAACATGCACATGCTACTGGTATTGAACTCTCAGCAACAAAAAAGATGTGATTTTACATAATTTTCATATTATTGACTTCTCTGTTTCCTCTCCTAAGGAGATTAATATCTCTGACGATAATTTAGAGGCTGCTTCAGAGACAGAATATCTTAGTGTCCCAAGCATACTATCACATTTTAAATATTAGGCACATGCTGACAATACTCTTAACTTCTACTTAAGACATTGTGCACATGATACTGAAATGTGCCAGATATTCAGGCAGGGCACTGTTTCTCTTCACGGTATCTTTGATTTGTTTGTATAACCAATGCATATATTTTGACCAGATGACAGAAATCATCTGACCTTGAAAAATAAAGATATCTGAGGAATAAGAAAGATGTTACCTCTGACTAACTTCTTTTTTTCCCCTCTATTGTTTTCCATAACCCAAATGATTCTTGGGAATCACCACGAAGCTACATGGGAGAAGTCAAAAAATCACTGATGGGTGCACTGGGGACTGCCCACCTAAGGCATATACAACTCAGCCCCTGGGTAGTCTTCTCAGCTGGCAAAACTCGCAAAAAAGGAACAACATGATTTGTTCTGATCTACGGTTTTCACCACTGTACATGTATTTTGTGTTGTATCTTCATATACATAAGCTAAAAACATAGGTATGCTAATATTTATAGCCAGCACTCTTCACTCTCCTTTTAAAATATTTCTTACCTTTCATTGGCAACAATTGTCAAATAATTGAATGACAAACTTGAAAAGAACTGAAAGCCAGCAAACTTCTAATCAAAGAGCATAACTCATTATCTAGCAATAAATTCACCCAGAATAAGGACACTAGAATTTAGAAAGCCAGTGCTATTGATTTTACCTGTTGTGGAAGTTCACTGATCAGGTACTGAGCAAATTTTTGCAACTGGTCTCTTTGCAGCCGAGACAGGGACTCAGAAACAGGTGCCCGTAAGCAAACGGCAGACGCCTGAGGAAAGAGAAGGAAACATAATGCTGACATTAACAGGTCACACATAAACTGGGCTCACTGGGCAATTAATGCACCATAAACATGCATTACAGCAAAGCACTTCATTCTTGGTCCCGATGGACACAACTTTCTGCATTGCAGATAAGATGCAAATAAGCTGTCTAAGTTTTATAAAAGCTGTTTTAAAGAATTTCTTGTCAAGAAAACTGCTTTAACAGCTGTGCTTAAGATCTGTTGTTGCTAGCAATTGCACAAATACTGGCAGAGATTTCACAAACAAACTTCTTAAATAGGACATTATTTCTAAGCCTCTGGCAAAGGAAGTAGCTTGGTGAGGGGCTGTTTCATAGAAACACAACCACCTCTTATCTCATTAAACATTTTCTCTTCAGCCTTAAAATCAGTCTTGTTTCATATCTCAAAACAACAGATCACAGAGAATAAAAACTAGTTCCCTCACTTTTTTCACCATGCCAACTAAAAATAGACCAAACAGCACCCACCTAAAACTTAACTCAGAAGCAGGCAAGAGCACTTGGATGATAAAGATGCTTCTGATATTGATTTAGCTCCACAGAGCAATACCCTGCAGAATGTAATCTGTTGGTGTTCACAATCGACCAGCTTTCAGGTGGGAGAAAGGATGGTGGGAGCATGACCATCTTACACAGGTTTCTAACTTTCTGGGTGCCAATACTATAAATTAAAGTTTGCTTCCTAGCTTCTCTTTCCACAAACATTTCAAAGCAGAACATAAGTCTTAGACAACTTTACTGCCATGACTAAAGACAGAAAGTATACTGATATTCTGATATTCTCACAGAACTTTAAGCCCACTCCAGCTGTCTATTTTGAAATGCCACTGACAACTTATTGGCAAGTTTCAGCAGGTAATTAGTGCTCATATAGGAATCCAGAGTCGATCATAATCATGCTAACTATAAAATGCTGGGTGACAGCAGAAAATCTTCTGTTCCTTTCAGTCTCCCAGGCTTGATTCTTCCTTAACACATATTTCTTACAGTATTCCAAAGACTTGAGGATTTAAATCTGCACACAAGACTGAGTGCTGTGTGTGTGCATCATGTGGATTTCACTGTATACAAGGTCAAATACAAATATAAACATGACTACCTTCTGGAAATCCATAGGTCAAAATGACAAACGACCGGGTGAACATAAAGGCCAACAGCGACCAAAATGACCTTTCCTCTGCACTCTGAATGATCAAACAGCCTAAAGAAAGAGCTTTTAAGTGACCCTTCCCTCCTTGCAGAAGTGAAGAAAGAGTGACTAATTCTAGCCTTTAAATGAGAAACAGTAAGGGGCCAAAATAGATTGTTTGCCTACTCTTAGCAATTCACACGTTATCAAAGGATATCCTGCAGCTTAGAGCCTCAGTCAATTCACACTGCGGACCGCAACTCTGAGTGCACACTTGCACAATCTGTAAGCAGAGAGGAATGCCAGGAACAACTTCCCTAGGGCGAACGCATGATGCATAAAGCTGGAATGACAGACAGACTTGGGGGAAGGATGCCTAGGGAGGAGCGAAACTGTATTTAAATGCCTACATTGTGTATCCGGAAGAGACAGAGCGCCACGACGTGCGCACACCACTTGGCGCCGGCTCCGCAGGTGCAGCTGCAGGACGTGATCCTGCAGCGGTCAAACATCACGGCCACGTTGTAGGCACCTTTGGGCGGCACCATCTGCGGCGGTACCACCGTGGCACTCAGGTGGAAGCCTGGCAAAAGAAAGAAGTGCAAAGTTAGTGCTCCGCTGCCTGGCACAGGACACATTCAACTAGCAGGAAAATTCACGTAGGACATTCAGCTAGCAGGAAAATTCACGTAGGCGCAATGTAAACAGTAAAACAATAATATTTGCAGCAACCTGGCAACAACACCCACCCAGAAATGGCCACTAGTTTAAGGTCTCCAGCACTGTCACTTCCCAACCAGCTATGACAGCACATTACCAGAGACAAATAACATTTTTTAAGTTCAAAAAGACAAGCTTTTAATATACTGATCTGTATTTAACCAGCTAAAGCCAAGTGGATCCAGGTACCACTGAAGGGTGTGGCTTTTGGATGGTGGGGTCACAGCTAGACCATACATACTTTGAACATGACTTCTAGGTTAATTAACTGGCAACAGGGAAGCAGAACAGGTTAGGCCATTTCTTCCAAATTATTTTCAGTTCAATCAACTTTCACAACAGAGCAGTGAACTAAACGAGGCAGCTCTTACACCTCCTACCATCACCTGTGGTTTCAGAAGTCACCAATTTAACAAAACAATTTCTTGTAAACTATACACCTCCTTGCAATTTGAACAACAACAGAAAAATACTCTTCTATAAAGCCAGGTACCCCAAAAATGAAAACAAACAAAAAAAACTCTTGTTCAGATTAAAATCAATGGGAAAGGGAAAATTCAGCAACAACACTTAAAAGAATCCAGCCCCCTCCACTGTGCTCACACAAATGAATTATGAATCTCATTTCGGACAGGATGACAAAGAACTTTAATGAAACTTGGCTTCATGTAAACTCACGTACAGCACAGTCCGTACATGCCCTCACAATGCAGCTTCTTCTGCAAATAATGGTTATCCAGGGGCACAACATAAGAAGCTGGAAAAGGCCATTAAAGAGCACAAATTTTCTGCCTGTCTCTAAGGCCCCTAACACCAGTTAATTTTCTCCAGTAGCAGTGAGTATCAATCTCAAAACCTTTTTGCTAGATTCAATTTCAGTTTTAATGCTACATAAAAAAGCACAGCAGCATCAAAGCTATAATCAGAATTCAGCCCAATGATTCACCTTAGGTAAAAAGATATGGCTTGGGACAGATGTTTGAAACAGTAGGTTATAAATACAGGTTACTACATGTTATTATGATACTGTAAGACTATAACAACCATGGTGTTCAGTGGCTCACATGACCTATTAAATCCAATTGAAAACAACGTGCAGTAATTTTTCCTCAAAATATAATACCTATGTTAACTTGCTGTTACCTTGTTTAACCTTTTTATTTCTTCTGCGCTCCAGGATTCAAATCCTCTTCCTGATGTGGGTGATTATTTTGATTAGTGCACATAATGCCACCCAAATTCCTCTGCTATTTTAGCAATTGAAACAGAATCAAAACAAAAAAAGGCATTCACCACAAAATTTCTGTACTGCTTATTACTAGTTCCAGTTCTAATTTATGCTCCTCACTTGGATAATACAACCCAAACAGTTCATCTAGTCCTTCTGTTGCACTAGAAGCATCTCAGACTAATGCCAACATGTCCTGATTTTCACAAAAGCAAATTAAGCATTTCACAAACTGTAACTGCAGCAGCTCTATTTCACTGAGAAAAAGTAGCGTTCTCAAGGTGGTAAAGCACCATGGGTCACAACTACATCTTCTTATCCAGAGCCTAGCAGGAATATTTTAACTTGCACATGAAGACAATTAACTGAGTGCATACAAAGAGGAAAGTCTGTTTTTAAAAAAAGACAAAGAGAAGAAATATTTAAGGGCTTCCACACAACACATCATCATGTTGAACTCACACTGCAGTGTGATAAACACTTCTGCCTGAGACACCGCTAATTCAAGTGGCCCTGCCTGACTCTCTTGCACCATCAATCTCGATGTACTGAACTGCCTGGGGGATGGCATAGGAAACCGTATCAGGGAAAAGATCTGGATTAAATTAATGACTACCTTTTATCATGATAAATGTCACAATCCACTTCACTGTGCAGCTTACAGGCAGCTGAAGCTGCACAAATTGAAAAGGTGGCCATAACCAGGACTCTTCTGAAGTGCTTAGCCCAACACGACTCCTTAAAGAAATATTCATCAAACTGTACTCATGTACAGTACAACTGCAACTCTTATCTGTCTTGGCAGCTCACAGCTCTTCCTCTCTTGCTTAAATGTGAACACGAGTCATGTCTCCTGTTCCAACCTGGCCACCGCACGCAGCAGAGTGCCAGCTTCCCTCTCGCTCACTTCTGGCTCCCTCTGGGCATCAACAGCAAACCTACTACTGCACAGAGCAGGACTTAAAAAATAACCGCCCCTGGGTACCAGCAGCATTCATTCTGCAGCTGCGAAAAACAAAGATTTGTAGCCTATTCTCAGCAAGCTCCACTCCCAGTAGACCACAAGAACAGGCCACAGGCCAGAGGAACTGCTCTGCACGGAGCAAGCCTGGTGTTCCATGGAAGTGCTTAGGCTTGCTCTGCACAGAAGGTGGATCTTATGGTTCTCATGAGTGTAAGATACACTTATGCACTTCCACACTTCTTACAGACTGCTCATACACAGAACAAATATGGCAGGCAGACAGCACCAGCCTCGCACTGAAGGATTTCATCAACAATACAGGGTCTAGTTGTTTAAGGTTACTCCTGTAGTAACTGTATTACAAATACAACACTCTGCTATATGAATAATAACTAATCTTTGCAAACTTCACCTTTGCTTCGTATAACATAGGCTTTTTGCAAACATTAATTTGAGCAGATCACCAGGAAGTCAAGTTCTTTTTAACCCTGAAGAATATAAATGTTATGGAGACACAAGCATTCTATATAGTTTTACCCAAAAGACTCAGATCAGATTAAGCATCAAATTTCCAAAATTGGCTTTTCACTCAATTTTACAGCAGAGCTGATGAAGGCTGCAAAAACAACAAAACAAAAAAACACACAGTATTTTGCTCAAGAAATTACAAAGCATACACACAGCAGGGAGCTGAGTGTAGCATGCCAGCAAAGCTGGTTTTGAGACATGGTCACATCAGTGCTGCCCAACTGCAGACATAGTTTGGTGAGTGTGAAATACCCAGAGACATGGAGCTGCAGGGCCTTACCTATCTGGAGAGGGTCTTTGACAGCCCTCACCCTGAACAGCTGCTCGCCGCGCTGGAACTCATCTGCACTGCCATTTGCCAAACACGAGTACAACCTAGAAGAAGGAAACATAACATAACAGCATTAGTCTAGTTCCAAGTAACCACATGTTCCTATCTTCTGCATTCTTTCTTGACCTCGCTTTTGATAAATCCTCACCATCTTCACCTTTAAGATGAACTCCCCCTCTTTTTTGCGACTTCTCCACAACACCTCAAATCACAAGAATCATTAGTCTCTTTATAATTGGGTTTGTAAATGGCCGCTGAGATTTCTAGGAATTTTAACTGAATGTTCTGGAATACAAATTCATTCATGGTCTAAAATTTAACTTTTAAATAAAGAATAAAATTACTTCAAGGTCCATCCAGCATCATCATGCCACAGCCAGAACTCCTTTGCCACATGCTCACATGAGATTTTCTACTTCTGTGCTCACCAGAATAATTGCTATAGAACATAGAACTGACTGGATTGTTCTATTCCTCCACAGTTGATCTATTTAGATCAGCTAGGAACAGGAACTATACTGGACAACAAATGCACAATAATTCTTGTCTAGTGAGCAGTACTCCTCTCAAAGCACCAACGAAGCAGAAATAGTGCACATTACCTGATGTCTTCCTCATTTTCGGGGAAGCTCCAGAAGGCAATCCGCAGCTGCAGTTGCTCAGGCACTGGCGGATAAACTTTCTCCACCACCTCGAATGGAATGTGAAATGCAACCTGCTTTGCAGACAGTTCCACCAGTGGGATCACCAGCCCATCTAGCAAGACAAGAAACAAGGTGCTATTAGCCACTAGCGGAACTAAACTTGCAAGAGGTTAGTGATCAGAGAAGGGAGATTTTCCATTTTATCTGTTCTCTCACCAAGTTCAAGGATCAAGCACCACAGAACTTTTCTGCAGAGTCACCTGACAGCTTCATGTTGCCTTTCAGCCCCACAGGGAAGGGGCTGGACATTCCTAAAAACCCAGATGGTCATCAGGACACCTGCACTAGCCTGGTAGACATCAGTGCTCAAACTATCTTCTGACAGTACAAGAGCCATTTGGTAAGACATAAGGTAAGTTTCAATACCTAAGTAGTGGTGGTGGTCTAGAGCCATTTGGTAAGACATAAGATAACCAAATCCAGTTTCAATACCTAAGTAGTGGTGGTGGAGGGGGGTTGTCTGTCTTTTTTTGTTGTTGTTGTTAACTTTCAGTATTCTGCAGTTTACACAATTTTCATTTAAAATCATGTTTGCTGTTTAATTCCTCTCACAGCCACCTTTCATGTGACATCTATATCACAAGTTCTTTACAGGAGCACTGGGAATTCACATCTTCACACAGCGCTGACTGCACTGAGCCTCTGAGGACCTTAGAGTGCACTACAGGCTTTACACAAATAAATTTAACCATCACCCTTCCACCTAACGAACTCCATTTTTTGTGTGTTTTTAAGTGCAGATCACAATTTCTTGACATCAGGCTAGGGGGAACCTTATGTTTCTGCCAGGGAAGAGGATAGATTCTGCTCGGGGCTCAATTACACTCCCAACCCACCCGCCAGCTTGCCCTATCTGCAAGCACCTCGCTGCTTCCCGGAGATCACCTCCCGACCTGACCCATCCGCAGAGCACCCCACCGCCCCTCGCCTTCCAATAATCCCCGTTGCCAAGAGCCCAATTCAGTTTCAGATACTCGATGTTATGTCCCTTCACCTCCCTAACCAGCTTCTAAAGCACCACTGGAAGTCAGAATGAAAACGGATCTGGCCCCCGCTCCCCTTCCCATGGTCACAAGGCAGCAACTCAAAGGAAAACTTAAACCCTGACGTCACTGAGCGCTTTCTGCCCCTCTGCCTTGAGACACCCTCCAGTCCCAATTGCTGGGAAGCAGACAGGAAGGGAGAGGGTTTGCAAACACACGCATGCAGTGAGACAGCCAAGACCCCCAGTACTGAGCAGGCCTGTCAGATGGAAGGATTATATAAATGTGGAAAGAACATACTGTTTTCAAACGGCCACCGTTGTGATTACAGTGAACTAGGCAGCACTCCCTGCTTATAGAGAGGCAGTCCTCTACTGCCACAGGATTATGTCTCCATCACCAGCAAACCTTAATCTGCATTAACGATGGAGCTTCTGTTTTACAGTGCTAAAATCCCATCCACAAATGTGAGAGCAGCAGAGACTACAGGGAACTCTGATGGAAGAAGGAGCATTTCTTTCTCTTCAGCTACCTGATAACCAAGATCTCAGGGGAAGTTATTCCTATTCCCACTCTTGACAATTGGCCCAGGTATAAAACTTCTGTCAAGTCACTAAAGAAAACTATTTACTTACTGCAACACATTCAGTTTGAATATTACAGTTGTTACCACAGTAGCGGTAAAAGCCATAGGAGGTGCAAATGGAGACACACTGATACTTGAAATTTCACTGAACAACTGAAGGGAAAATATTTCTGTACTTTTAATAGTGCTTTTTGCACAGGGGCACTTTATCCATGTCTTTCCTTACATAATACTAGAAAAGAAATAACACCTAAACAATCTGCATCTACAAAGGCACAAAAAAAAAGAAAAAAAAAAAGCCTTCAGTATCACCGCACATTCTTCAAAGAGCTGGACTGCTCGAGGACAGCATCCCAGAAAGTGACACTGTATAAAAAAACAAGGATTTGGTGCTGGGTATGAAGGCCAGAAAATCCTAGAGACAGATGGTGTTGGCGGAAAAGCAGCAAGAGCAAAAGCATTCTGATAAATATTGCTCTATGGCCATGCATCACTGTTTTAAATACCCTCCCGCACAGGTGCGATGCGCTGGATGCAGAGCAGGTGACCAGAGGAGTGGCAGCACAACCGCTGCAGTCACCTCCCATCTCTGCTGCACAACATGCCTGTTGTTATTCAAGCTAAACTACAACTCCAGAGAGACTCTGACAAGCTTCGCTGAACTCACCTCTCCTAAGAACATCTATCTTGCGAGTGGGACAGAGTCAGTGCAGCGACGCATCAGAGGCCTGCGTGCTTTCAGAGAAGTCAAACGGGAGCTGCACAGCACCCAAGCTAACAATCTGGGAATGCTCCGACCTCCTGGGCCAGCAGCAGGGCAGCAGCGCTCGCCTCAGATGGGAGCCCGACGCTCGCCTCCCACCACGGACACCAAACCAGGATAACCAGGGTGGCGGAAGCGGATAGGCATCACCAGAACCATTTCCCCAGGGCGCAGGGCACTCCCCATCACCACCTGCTCCCAAGTGCGTTTCCGAGCCCAGTCGGGAGCTTGGCTTGGCTTCGAATCAGGCAGGATAAATGGCCTGGGCCGAACCAAGATGCTGCTTCCAGGCGCCTCTTTTCCCCCAGAGACACTCACCTCTGTCGTGCAGTCATACGATACATTAGCACGGCTCCTCGGATGGAAGGATTTAGCAGGATCTCCTTGAGGCACAGGCCCTCAGCTTTTCTACACAGTCTACCAGGATTTCACAGTACAAGAAGAAATGCAGCCTTACTGGGAAGGACAAGTCACATCAGTGATGTTTTGTTCACTCAGCTATACGGCTGCAAAGCTCCTTGCCTGTAAAACTCATTGCAGCCTTAAATTAATCACAGATGACAATGACCCTGGGATACAGAGATGCACCATAAGTATGTGGGTGCCAGTCCCTTTGCCAAGTCTCTCAGATTTACTCCTTCAGAAAGGCATTCGAGCGACTAGCTCATGACATCCCTTCACATGGTAGCAGGTTACTTAGACAGTTTTGCTCATCTTACCCGATACGAAGTTAAAAAGAAAAGTGGGAAAAGGAGTCAAGGTATAGGATAAAACCCAGCACCTTAGAACTGCGCATCCCAGGGCAACTGGAGCAAAGAGACATGCTACAATGCAAAAATGTGCAAACGCTGCAGAGAAAGCAGGGGGATGAATCTTTTAGCTTTCAAAATAGGTAAATCAGGACAAAAATCACAAGACCTGCCTAACAGATCAGACAATCTGGATAAAACCAGAAATCAAACACACATAAGCATTAATCTTTCCAAAACCTAATCAGGAAATATAAACTCAAACATTGGCATGAAAATCAATAGTAAAAGAAAGAAAAACCACCAACAGAAAAAGACCAACTAAAGAAAGCCTCTTTTCTTCTCAGGATGGTCCTGTGCATGGCTTTAAAAAAAAAATCAAAATACTGCACACTTTGTGAGGTGAAGACTGCTATTCACAAAGAGATACCTGGTTTAACCCAGCAGCCCAAGGTAACGGGCTGAGCTCCCACCAAACACACCAAGTGCTTCGTTGGCCGCAGCGCCAGCAGCAACGGGCACGAGACGGGCACTGACAGCAGCCTCCCCTGGCACGGCTGGCTCTTGGAGACGGACTCACAGATTCTCAGCACAGAGCTAAGACATTTTTGAAACAAGCTGATAGCAATAAAACTTGACAGGGAAAATGATCTAAAAAGCAATAATCTAACTTATAACGTCACAAATCTCTTTTAAATGCTGAAATTTCAGTAAGAAAAAGAGAACCATAGAGAAGATATGGTAGAATTGAAAAGTGGAAAATGTTTTTTCAATAATATTTTAAGAGTGGGTGAATTCACATTAGGTAGCTTGCCATGCAGTGTAAATACTAAAGTAAGAAGTTAAACCTCTCTAGGTTTCCCCCATGTTGTCAAAGGCAGAGAGAGTCCTAGCTAAGAGCAGCTCCAAGGGGGCAGCTGAGCTTCTTTTCTCATCGGCTTCCCTAAAGCTGGCTACCATGGACAGCCTCAGGTTAGTGCTATGCTTTCATTAGATTAATACTATTTGATTGTGAACACTGTCTTATGAGTCCTAAACAGAGAGAGACTCATTCCAAAAGGATATCTTTAGATATTAGCCATATTTGATGGACACATACAAACACGCACACAAAAAATAATAACTAAAAAAAGGCAAAAAACCAGGGCTTAAGTTCTACACAAACATATTTTCAGCAAATACAAAAATCAAAAGTCTGATAACAAAGAAAATGGGAAAAACATTGGAGCTTCTACTGAGGATAAAGCAAAGGTAAGTGAAGTCAGGAAGCCTGCAACCTTAATATTAAAAATAATAATAAGAATCCAGTAATGAAATCAGAGATGTAATAAAGAATTGTCAAGTCTGCAAGATAGATGTACCTGACAGAAGAAAATATTAAACTGTGAAGCAAAACTAGCAAGGATCACTGCCTGCTCTTGGCAACAGGACAAGACAACCCACACAGAACAAAGGAAATGTTTCAAGCCTTGGAGGAATGTAGCCAGGTAAAAAGCCTAAGAAACCTCAAGCAAGTATGACTTATAGGTTAAATTACTAGCAAATAAATAAAAAATAAAAATAACAGCTGGAAGTGAATTGTTGAGATCAGCTAATCTACTCACTCCACATCCCAGAGGCAGGATGAAGCAGACCAAGACCATTGCAGGTAAATCACATTTCATACGCTTACCCCCATGCAGAACACACAGCTTAAACAAGGGCTAGCTCACCCTTTTTGCTACTATTTCATGTGAATTACAGGACTGACTTATGATACTTTTGTAACAGCTAAAACTAGCATGGAGAACTATCTTGCAGGGAAAAAGCAGATACACACAAACCTCAGCTCATACAAACTGTGCACATAGCTGGCTATGTTCACCAGGAAGAGCAACTTCTATGGAAGCAGGACTTGATGATGTTTGCGTGTAAGTGTAGCTATGTCACTTAATCTTTGTAGGCCATAACATGTTGAGGCCAACAATTATT